GTGTCCCCCAGAAGCCCCAGGTGTCCACCAAAACCCCTGGGCATCCCTCAAGACCCCTGTGTGTGTCCCGGGACCCCAGGCATCCCCCTGGACCTGTGGGCATCCCCCAAGACCCCTGTGTGTCCCCTGGGCATCCCCCAGGACCCCCAAACATCCACCGAGACCCCTGGGTGTCCCCTGAAGCCCCTGGGCATCCACCGAGACCCCGGGTGTCCCCCGGGAGCCTCGGGTATCCCCCAGGACCCCCGCGCGCGCCCCCCACTCACCCGTCCACGGCAGGTCACCTCCTCGCCCTGCATCAGGCAGGTGCCGACGGCGATGTAGCCCTTCAGCCCCGACACCGTCTCCTCGCTCTTCAGGGACACCGTCTTCATGCAGGTGACGTGCTCCCACTCCTCCAGGTCGATCCTGGGGGGGGGATAGAGGAGCAGGATCAGACCCAAAACCCACCAACCACCACCTGAGGGTGAAACTGGGTCCCTGGAGGGTTTTGGGGGGGGACAGACCCCCCGGCACGGCCCCCCACGGTGGTTACCTGGTGTTGGGGATGGTCTCCCAGCTCACCGGGGAGATGAGCTGGATGGAGAAGGCTTCCTGCTGCGGGTGGATGTAGCGTTCGTCTGCGGAGAGGAGGGGGGGGGACAGGGCTCAGACGGGGGGGGTGTCCCCAAACTGCCAGGGGAGGGGAGACAGGGTGGGACACGCCGGACTTACCCCGCTCGATGCTCTCGAACTCCTTCTCCTCCCCCGTCATGCGAGGGATGCGGGTGCAGGGGTTGATGACGCTGGTGGCCACGGCGTAGACCTGCCAGCGACGCCGGTGTCGGTAACGGGGAGGGATGGGGGGGACACACACAAACGCGCGCACCGGGAAAGCCCCCCACCCACCCCCTTGTCCCCGGGGATGGTGGCACTTTGGTGGCTTCCAAAGCGGGACGGGGGATGTGGCTGGGGTCCCTTTGGAGGAGGAGGAGGAGGGCGTCCTGAGGAGGAGGAGCGGACCCCCGGCACGGCACGGTACGGCACGGCGCGGTACCTTGGACTCCACGTGATAGGCGACGTAGTGCGTGGTGCAGCGCAGCGGGATCTTCCGTACAGGCCACGGCGCATCGTAGGAGAGGTAGGCGGGCAGGACGCTGATCCGCAGCTCCCCCTGTCCCGGCAGCCCCC